TCTAAAATAAGATGTAGAATATGCCCCCGTATCATACATGTCCCATGATGGGTATGGATTTACATGAGAATAGGAAGGTATCCATGACATTGGCATTAGCGGCCCTGTTGGGGAACGCAGTAATTTCAAAAAAATACCTATGCACACGCAAGATCTGTTATGCGATGCATAGCAACAAGAGGGGAAGAGTGTTGTCCACGTACCCTCGTAGACCGTAAGCGGAAGCGCTATGACAACGCAGTTGATGTAGTCGTACGTCTTCACGATCCGACCGATCCTAGTACCGAAAGTACGACACCTATGCGATCTGCACATGTTCGGCTTGGTGACATTCCACAAACTCTCGATCCAGCTGAGTGTCGGGGAAGAGCTTCGTCAGCACGATGGCGTGATGACGGTGATGATGAAGCTACCGGCGCAGGGCTTCGCCTAAGCACTACGACGATATGACCGAGGTGGATTATGGTGGAGGGGGGCACCGCACACGGCTAAGAGATCAATTATCAACTTGTGTGTCCATGGGGTGCCCCTGCCCCCGTGTATAAAGGAGCAAGGGGGGAGGCCGGCCGGCTCTAGAGGCGCGCTAGGAGAGGAGGAATCCTCCTCCACTAAGGCCCATGTGGCCCATTAGTTTCCCCCGGGGGTTCCGATAACCCCCCGGCACTCCGATAATTATTCGATGACCCTCGGAACTCATCCGGTGTCCGAATATAGTCATCCAATATATCAATCTTTATGTCTTGACCATTTCGAGACTCCTCGTCATGTCTGTGATCATATCCGGGACTCCGAACTACCTTCAGTACATCAAAACACATAAACTCATAATACCGATCGTCACTGAATGTTAAGCGTGCGGAACCTACGGGTTCGAGAACTATGTAGACATGACCGAGACACGTCTCCGATCAATAACCAATAGCGGAACCTGGATGTTCATATTGGCTCCCACATATTCTACGAAGATCTTTATCTGTTAAACCGCATAACGATATGCGTTGTTCCCTTTGTCATCGGTATGTTACCTACGCGAGATTCGATCGCCGGTATCTCAATACCTAGTTCAATCTCGTTAATGGCAAGTCTCTTTACTCGTTCCGTAATGTATCACCCGGTAACTAACTCATTAGTTACATTGCTTGCAAGGCTTATATTGATGTGCATTACTGAGAGGGCCCAAAGATACCTCTCCGACAATCGGAGTGACAAACCCTACTCTCGATCTATGCCAACTCAACAAAAACCATCGGAGACACCTGTAGAGCACCTTTATAATCACCCAGTTATGTGGTGATGTTTGGTAGCACACAAAGTGTTCCTCCGGTATTCAGGAGTTGCATGATCTAATAGTCATAGGAACATGTATAAGTTATGGAGAAAGCAATAGTAACAAACTAAACGATCATCGTGCTAAGCTAACGGATGAGTCAAGTCAATCACATCATTATCTAATGATGTGATCCCATTAATCAAATGACAACTCATGTCTATGGTTAGGAAACATAACCATCGTTGATTTAATGAGCTAGTCAAGTAGAGGCATACTAGTGACATTCTGTTTGTCTATGTATTCACACATGTATTAAGTTTCCGGTTAATACAATTCTAGCATGAATAATAAAAATTTATCATGATATAAGGAAATATAAATAACAACTTTATTATTGCCTCTAGGGCATATTTCCTTGAGGCCCAAAATAAGGATATGAATATAACGCATTGAAATTCTCACTCTGCCAATACCGATCCTCAGATTTGCGCTTGGGGGTGGTCTTGATGCTTTTGAATTACTTGGGTGATAAGCACTTTTCTCCTCACTCTTCTTCTAATATTTATCTAACAATTGTGAAAAAGTAACTTTGGTCTTCTCGCACTTGTGCTTATTGCAGCTTTTATCTCCTTTGGTTTTGCTTGCATCGATATTTGGATTCTCTTGTAGCCCCCTAGTACTTGGCATCTTCGGTGCAACTTTGATGGAATTCTTTCCCTCTAGAATATTATAATTGTGATCTTGAATATCTTCCTTACTTGACAGATGGATCCCATCATCCGCAATTTTTACCTTCTCATCTCTTAGTGAATCGGCTTGGTTTTGCTTGCATCGATATTTGGATTCTCTTGTAGCCCCCTAGTACTTGGCATCTTCGGTGCAACTTTGATGGAATTCTTTCCCTCTAGAATATTATAATTGTGATCTTGAATACCTTCATTACTTGAAAGATGGATCCCATCATCCGCAATTTTTACCTTCTCATCTCTTAGTGAATCGGCTTGAAGAAACTGATGCAAAATCTTTTTGCCATCAGGACCAACCAGAATAGACTGGTCGTTCCTTGTGTTTCAACAAATTTCAATCGTCCTTTACCAATGCATGATTTAACTATTTGATGAAACATATTACAATCATCAAAGTTATGCTTGAATGAATCATGCAACTTACAATACGTTCGTCCTTAGATTGATGGCTTGGCATGGTGATCAAGAATTCTAATGTAATTACTTTACAACAAATCAAATATTCGACCACACATGCTTGAATTGAAGGTATACTTCTCATTTTCAAGTCAATCTTGTTGTGAGAACGGCTTTGGAACTAAGGACATTAACGGTTCCGATTTGGCATCTCCCCATGTGGGTATGAATTTCCTTTCGCATTCTTTTCCCGGTGTCATTGGATAAGATATTATACTAGCAACGGTTTCTCAAAAGAATTTAACCTTGGCTTTAAATTTCTGAATTGAAAATAGTTAGAACATACATGCCTTAGTTAAGACCAAGTGTATGTCAAGTATGAAACAAGCAAATTTACCCATTTTGATATAAAATTTAAGTAAAACAATGGGAAAATCTTTGTCTAATGGATGCACTGACAACAAAGTTATGGCCAAATATGAAAATAGGTAAGTTATTTGCTAGACATACCTCTTCAAATATATTGGGAGAGCATGATGGTGGTGTGACTTGAACAATATCTTGCTTTGCCTTCGGATGACTCCCCAACACCTTGCAGTCCTCTTTTTCTTTATTTCGTGCATCACTACTTTGAAGATCTTTGTCAACCGAACTTTGTTCGGCTACTTGCTCTCTTCCTTTAGGCTCATCAATTTCTATGGGACGAAACTCATAGGATAGGAAGTAGGTTCACTTTAGAAAAAATCAAACACGGTTGTTTCCTATGCTTGCCATGCTCTTTCATAATGATACTTGCATGTTTTGGATATGATGGATTCAGAACACACACTAGTTGATTCAGCCGTTTCAACTATACACTTTCACTCTTTGAATCATCATTCTTTTTTTGCTTTTACCAATTGGCAAGACTTATTTTCTTTGAGCCAATTCTTTTTCTATTTGTTCTTGATGATGAGCGGCAAAATAACTTTAAAGTTTTTTTTAATTTCAACCCACTCCGGATATGATTGCCCCCCAGTCAAAATGGTGAATCAGCGCCTCTGCCACTTTAGTAGTCATCTTCTCCTTTGGCCTAAGCAACCCGAGCTCCTTGACAATGCGAAGAGAAGCTCAGTGAGCCACTGTGACCTTGGACGCAATCGCAGCCTGGCACGCGTTGTGGCGACGGGGACCGAGGCAGCACATGACTTGGGCGGGACTGTGGGGTGTCAGGGAGGCGCGTTGGCGAAGACTAGAGTCGGGGTATCTAGGAAGAGGCGGCGGGGCTAGATGCTCTCCTCGTCGCGGACGGTTTCTAGCTGGTAGACCTGGCAGGTGACCGCTCCTAGTTGGGCCGCCATGGTGCGCGCGGGTGGTGGGGCTTGGCGGTGGAAATTGATTGGGCCGCCCGTGGGCCAGAGAGGATGGGGCCAAACACTCCAGCTGGTCTTCGGGACCCACATTTTCCTTCTACTGACCGTTGACGAAGTCCAGCGGGGCTGCGACCGCAGCGTCAGCCGCTGCTTGCAGCTCGTTGGCCGTGCAGTCTACTGTGACCTGGGTTGCCAGTGGCTTTTTGGCGGCGGCGAAGAACGCCTCCACCGGATCGTTGTGGGGGTCGGAGTTGTCTTCTGTGTCCGCCGGTGGTAGCGCTGCCCGGGGGGAGGGGGCGGTGGAGTTTGCTGACCTGACGGCTCACCACCCGGAGCATTTATTCGTTATCTTCAACCAGTCGGCGGACCATGTCAACATTGTCAGGCGCAACTCCATCCGGGTCGATGGCGTCGTCTTCTACATTGCGTCATGGCATGAGCATGACCATGCGGGCTTCGGCAACTTCAACCTCCACACCAGGGTCGTCATCGAGAAGGTGCCGATGCAGTACTGATCCCTGGAAGGCGTAGAAGAGATCCTCCACGACAAGGTGCGCGTGGACTGTCTCGACAGAACGCTCGAGCGTGGCCACACCAAGACTTTTATCTACTGGCTCTCGGCATGGGATGTCGCCCACATCCCCACCAAGCACATGATGTGGGTGCTGCCGTGCGGCGCTGGAAGGGTGGAGGAGATGCAGGGCTTCTTACCGCCCGACCGCCGGGTGGCGCCGCCGCACGGAGCAACGCGGTACGGCATGCTCATCCATGTGGATCGAGTCGAAGTTTGGTCCCCTCCTTCACCGCGTTCATCGCACTCGGGGCAGATCGGCTTGCCGTCTTCCAGCTCCGACGAGGGCGATGCGCCGTTCCCCACGTGATCCCTGGCACGTGGACGATGGAGGTTTATACAATCTGGAGCCATCTGTGTTGTAGAGGGCTTGCTTTGGGGGTACTTCTCCACTTTTGAGCTATGTTTCCTGGTGTGTTCCTCTCAGGTCTTAATCCATGTATTGCATTTCCAGGGCCCCCAAGCAATAATTTCCGGCCCCATCCACCCGTCAAAATTGATTTCCCCAAAATAACCTCCACCAACTTCCCCGTACCCTCGCGTTAACCAGCCAATGGTTGCTCCTCCTTCTTTGCCTCAACAGAGAAAAGACCAGTCTTGTTCCTCCGCCTCCCTCTCTTCCGGTAACCAGATACCACCGGCGTGAGGCACGAGCCTGATTGAACATGTCCTCCTCACGCGCCCTCCTCTCGAGCCCGCACGGGGTTGCGAGCCGGACCTTCACGAGAGCGGCGCCGGCCCACCTCGCCGCGCCCTCGATCCCGTTCGCGCGCTCCGGCACTCTCCGCGCCCGGACCGCGATCCTGTCGTCGCCGGCGGCCACTGTGCCGGTGACCTCTACTGAGCCGAAGCGCCGGATCTCGCGCTCCGTGTCGGACTCGGCGCCGCGGGCGAAGCCTGCGGTCCTGGTGGCGGAGAAGCTGGGCGAGGCCGGGCTGGACGTGCTGCGTCAGTTCGCCGACGTGGAGTGCGCGTGCGGCATGTCCCCGGCCGAGCTCCTGGCCAAGGTGGCGCAGTTTGACGCTCTCATCGTGCGGAGCGGCACCAAGGTGACGAGGGAGGTGCTGGAGGCGGGGCGCGGGCGGCTGCGGGTGGTCGGCCGGGCCGGCGTCGGGATAGACAACGTGGACCTGCAGGCGGCGACGGAGGCGGGGTGCCTCGTCGTGAACGCCCCCACGGCCAACACCGTCGCCGCGGCGGAGCACGGCATCGCGCTGCTCGCCTGCATGGCCCGCAACGTCTCGCAGGCGGACGCCGCGCTCAAGGCCGGTGAGTGACCGATCGCTTCATTTGTGATGGTGTTTAGTTACGTCCGTTTTAGTTGCCATTGTTCCAGATTTTAGCACTATTTTTGACATCGACGTCCGATTCTGAAGGAGGGCGGCAGATTAACACCACAAATAATCTTTGGCGCTCACTCCTCCTCAGAATAGGAACACGTGATTAAATTTCCAATTTGGTGGTGTCACTTTAGTGGTGTTGGGTGCGAGAGAAAGGTAAATTTAGACTTTACATGGACATATTGTGTCTAAGACGGACACCTTTCAATACTTAGGATCAATGCTAGTAGTAGAAAGCAACGGTTGTCGTATCAAGGAGGGTATTAGCCAGCGAACCAAAGCGGAGGTGGATGAAGCGGCATGCTACAAAAAAGTATAACCACAAAAGCTCAAAAGTAAATTCTGCATGACGGCGATTGAATCTCTCTGTTGGAGCCTATGCTAAATTATTGCGTCCTATGAACGTCGCCATGTCGCTAGGGCCCGCATTTTTCTAGGCTAGCACCACCAAAGAAGCCGTCGTGACCACAGGCTTGCGTACGTGTCTTGATCCATGAAATAATTGTCCCTTGCTACCTTCTCTCCTTTTCTGTCAGCTCATACAGTGGAAAATAGATTTGCTGTTTTCTAATATAAGGGTAGTGATCAGTCAAGTAAAAACCACACAAGCTAGTAGTACGTATGATCAATTGAGGTTTGCTCGTGTGCTTGCTTTGGGATTATAGTATTTTGCTCTTCGCTTTACTAGCCAGCAATGATTGAGCCGACGATTTTCAGGATAGGTTTTCTTGGAAAAATCAGCCTTCGACTTGTGAACATAAAAAATGCCCCATTAGCAAGTTATAATATTTAATAAAATTACCATAGAACGATTGTTCTACGGTTTCAGCTCAAAAAAAAGCAGATCAATTGTCAGGGTGACTCCACGAGAGCATTAATCTCTAGTTTGATTTCCTTTTAATCACTTTGTAATAGCTGTATGCACTCAAATCCAAAAATAAACAAATGTACCTCCCTCTTTCTGTTGAAAACGGAGGAAAAGTACACACACATGACCCCCATAACCCAACTGTATCAGTATGATGAACCGTTACAACGGAAAATGAACAATGTATTTGGTAAGAGCCTTCAGATGACATTTTGGTTGTGATATCGACGACCTGCTTGCCGTGGGTGATTGATTGAGTACAGTATATTGCATCTTTTGTGTGTCTCTGAAGTCTGTTTGAAGATCATGACAGCTTACCAGTGTAGCCAAAAGGGGTGCATCAAAGCTGTGGGTGAGGAGTCTTTGCTTTCTGGGATTAGTTCAGATAGTAGGAAGTTATGCTTTCAACATCTTTGCGAATCTAAGTGTAATCACACACTGAAGCGTACTAAAGTGAATATGTATGAAAACTATTGAATGTCATGATTGCTACTTAGTAGTACTACTAAATAGCAGCAACGGAAGTGGAACATAATTTTAGATTCTCTGGTCCACTTTCGTCGGGCTTTACCTTTCTCGTGATAAGCGGTTGCAAATCAGCAGGATGATGCCTTTTTCGTACTGAGGAATCTGTGCAAAACTATTTTGGCAATATGAAACTAATAAAATTTGATGGGTCCCAAGCATGATACCTCAGCTTAGTGGGGAATATGATCCCTGTTCAACTTTAGCATTTTGATCTGCTACGTGGCAAAAAATTTAGTGCTACATGTAGAGGCCAAATCGGTCACTGATATTTTGGAACTTGTTGCTTTCTGGCACTTATGAAGCCAAACAAAATCATGCGTTGTCAAGGAGGAAATTTGATGGATGTAGGCTGCCTTTGTGTTTGCCTGCAAAAGTTGCTATATGATCCTATCTAACTATCTAGTAGGTATTTTCAGTTTTTACCATGAAGTTTTAACGATGAATTCACCTCGCCACTTAACAACTGGGTCCCTCAAGGGAGGGTGTAACAGAGTGTGGGGAAATCCTGTTGCTAACATTCAAGTGGGCATGAAACTTCAACCCTATACTTTTCCTATTCCTACATTTTCAAAATCCTACGAATCAAAGAGGCCCTTAGCAGTGTTTCCAATCTAGCTATTTCAAATTTATTATGCTCCTATCTTGCATGTTTACATTGTCGCATAAACTTAACACTTAAATACTTCCTTCGTGGAATTACTTGTCGCTCAAACGGATGTATCTAGACGTATTGTAGTGCTAGATCATCTGTTTAAGCGACGAGTAATTCGGGATGGAGGGAGTAACTTTTAATCACGGAATACAAAAACAAAAAAATTCCACAGGTGATGCGAGTGAACTCGTTCATTCTTACTAATAAAAGTATTGAACTGATTTCCCACAGGCAAATGGCAAAGAGCCAAGTACGTTGGAGTTTCCCTAGTTGGAAAGACTCTTGCCATCATGGGCTTTGGAAAGGTTGGCTCAGAGGTGGCAAGGCGAGCGAAAGGGCTAGGGATGCATGTGATTGCCCATGACCCCTATGCCCCGGCCGATAAGGCCCGTGCCATTGGAGCAGAGCTGGTGTCCTTCGAGGAGGCCATCGCCAAGGCAGACTTCATCTCCCTCCACATGCCGCTCACCCCGGCGACATCCAAGGTCTTCAACGACGAATCCTTCGGGAAGATGAAGACCGGCGTGCGGATCGTCAATGTGGCCAGGGGCGGAGTGATCGATGAGGATGCTCTGGTCAGGGCACTGGACTCCGGCAAAGTTGCTCAGGTGATTCGAAGCTTCCTCTTCTCAGCTTTCTTCTGGCTCGCCGGTGTGGAGATTTCTCTGAAAGGTGGAGGTTTTGTTTGCCAATCTGGATCAGGCAGCTCTTGATGTCTTAACTGTGGAGCCCCCGGCGAAGGACAGCAAGCTGGTTCTTCATGAGAATGTCACTGTCACGCCCCATCTTGGAGCAAGCACAGTGGAGGCGCAGGTCGGCGTCTTGGCTACGATAAATGTTTCAGTGGATGTAATCAAACCACTTGCCGCTCTTTTTGAGGTACCAACGCACCTGAACTTGCCGCATTGCAGGAAGGCGTCGCCATCGAAATTGCTGAAGCCGTCGGCGGCGCACTGAGAGGTGAGCTCGCAGCGACCGCCGTGAATGCTCCCATGGTCCCAGCAGAGGTACGCACGAAGCTTCTTGAGAAGTTGAGATGTCGGTGATAGACTGTGATTATGCGGCAAATCTTTCTTCTGAATCTGTTTCTTCCTTTTACAGGTCATGTCAGAGCTAGCTCCGTATGTTTCCCTGGCGGAGAAGCTGGGGAGGCTGGCAGTGCAGCTCGTCGCCGGGGAGAGCGGCATCAAGGGCGTCAAGGTGGTGTACACCTCAGCCAGGGACCCCGACGACCTCGACACGAGGCTCCTCCGGGCGATGGTCACCAAGGGCATCGTGGAGCCCGTGTCCAGCACCTTCGTCAACCTCGTGAACGCGGACTACACGGCGAAGCAGCGCGGCCTGCGCATCGCCGAGGAGCGGGTCTCCCACGACAACGCCGCCGCCGAGGCGCCGCTGGAGTCCATCCAGGTGCGCCTTTCGCACGTGCAGTCCAGGTTCGCCGGGGCGATCAGCGACGGCGGGGACATCGTCGTGGTCGGCAGGGTCAAGTACGGCGTGCCCCACCTGACCGTCGTCGGGCCCTACGAGGTCGACGTCAGCCTGGAGGGGAACCTGATCCTGTGCCGGCAGGTCGACCAGCCCGGGATGATCGGCAAGGTCGGGAACATCCTCGGGGAGAAGAACGTGAACGTCAGCTTCATGAGCGTCGGCCGCACCTCCCGTGGCAAGCAGGCGATCATGGCCATCGGCGTGGACGAGGAGCCGGACAAGAAGACGCTCGAGAAGATTGGGGCCATCCCGGCCGTCGAGGAGTTTGTGTTCCTCGAGCTATGATGGACGGGGGGCGCTCGCTCCACTCCTCGCTAGAATAAGTGGCATCGCAGCGACATCATATTGGTTTGATGCCACACGGGGTGGAGTGAAAGTGATCCTTCCACGGCGCCTTGGTTTGGCCTCCTTTTGAATAAGAACGATGTGTGTGTATGTTATATGCTGTGTGTGTCAACGTGTGCGCCTAGCGCTTGTTTATGCAGAGTCGTATCATAGTATTATATTGTTTGGCTAGATAATTGTTTGTGTGTTGCAAACTTGCAATACAGACACAAATATTTTGTATGTAATGGTGATGATGATTTACCTGGCATTTTTATTTCTATTTTTATTTACTTAAAGACAGCAGGATGCTATATTTCATAAATAAAGTTGGAGAAAAACAAAGTTACGAATACGAACCTAAGAGGAAGGGAGAGATTTGCGCTGGTTGCCAACCGGTAAACCAGCAAGGGAGAATACACCCAACTTTGGGGGTGGGAAACTCCAGGGTAACGATAACCGGTGAACATCAGCTGGGAGAAGGAATGCAAGCGAACTTTTTTGTGCACTTTAACTCATAAGAGCATCTACAGCCGGGCGCACAAACCCATCTCATACGTTTGGGTGAACTGCCCGATCACTATCTGGTCACGATTTTTCGACTCAGACGGCCCCCTCAAACAGGCCTCAAACACCCAGGTTGACTGGCACCCCTCATATCCAACCCAAATATGAGACAGATATGGGGGCGCTTGAACATGCCCGCCACGTCGGACCCGACAACCCGACCTCATCGTAAATTACATCAATTCCACCCCCAAGACCTGTCGGATTCATTTGCTATCTCCTCCCTTCTTCCTCCACGTCATCCGTCTCGCAGCTTCGCCGCGCGCGCGCGCTCCGCAGTCGTTCCTAGCCTCTGCGTCGCCAACTCTAGTAGAGCAATCCACTCTCCCGCCGTGGTGGAGGTGTTTGGACCTGAGTATCTTGGAGAACAAAATGCGCAGGACACGGAGAAATTATTGGCTATTGGAGACGCAAGGGGGTTTCTAGAAATGTTCGGATCAATTGATTGCATGCATTGGCAAGGGAAGAACTGTCCCAAAGATTCACGGGGAATGTATCAAGATAACACCAGAGAGGCCACCATCATATTAAAAGCGGTGGCATCACATGACTTATGGATCTCGCGTGCTTTCTTTGGAATGTCAGGTTCTCACAACAACATCAACGTCCTTCAACGATCTTCGATGTTCAGGAGGCTTTGCAATGGGGAATCACCGCCGTTCAACTACACCATCAACGGCCGAGACTACAACATGGGATACTATGTTGCCGATGGTATCTATCCTCAGTGGGTGGTGTTTGTGAAGACCATATCCGAACTGCATGGCAATAAACAGAGCCACTTTGCAACAATGCGGAAAGCGGCTAGAAAGGATGTGGAGAGGGCATTTGGTGTGCTTCAATCTCGTTGGGGAATTGTGCGAAGCGCTGCAATGATGTGGGAATCAGAAACTTTGTGGTAGCTGATGACATGTTGTGTTATTCTGCACAATATGATTACCGAGGATGAGGGTGGTGGTGTAGTCCAAACCAATGATTTTGAAGCACCTGGAGAACAAGTTGAAATCCCGAAAGATCAAGCTATGGCTCAGCTTATGAACTTTCGGCAGATGCATCAGAATCTTCAAGATCATCAGATGCACACGCAGCTACTCAATGATCTTGTGGAGCACATGTGGGCCCATAATGGAAACCAAGGAGCTAATGCTTGAGTTGTGCACTTAAAATAAATTTTATGTAAACACTATCTATGCTCGGTACCAACATTTGTTATTTATGCGCGACATTGGCTTTTATGATCGACGTGCATGGATTTGCAAGGATTTAAGAACCCAAATTTAAGATATGTGAATGCCGGGAGCGAAATACAAGGGCCCGTCCGGATGTGCCCGCGAGCATGCCCAGAAGCGTCCATGGACATATAGTGGGTCGGATTTGCCAAGTCTGGCTATAAATCCTCTAAGGGATTGGTAAATTGTTATTCACTTGGAACCATGTAAACCTAGCTGGAAATGGTTGAACTGTAATTTGCCATATTTCAAAATACCGTACGGTTTAGTACTTTGTTCAGAGAGTCGGTCATCCCAAAATAGAAGAATTTTTTTTCATGATTCTCCTAAATCTTTTTGGTGTCTTGTGTGATCTAATCATCAGAAGGCACGGACTGTATGGAATGTTGCTTGTCCTATCTAATTATCTGCAATTCACAGGTTATGGAACTGCAATTGCAATGATAGCAGGAACAATCTTGCTTTTCTTTTTCTTTTCTTTTTTGGCGGAAGAGGAATGACCTTGCTTGGGCGACCTTCTCTGTTATGATATTGTTTTCTAAGTTAAAAAAACCTAAAACCTGCTCGATGGTTTTGTTATGTTGGATGTGCCCCAAGAAGCTTCTTTCTTTTGATTTTTGTTGTCAATATATTCTGTGGATGCTCCCCATACTCATTTTGAAGTTTGGCAAACAGTGGCGGAGCTATGGTAGAAAACAAGGGCGGGCCGGTACAAAGGAAGACTCATAATTCTAAAGCTCATGGTTAAGTTTACTCTTAAATCTTCACTGTAATTGCTATGAGCTGGGCGGGCCACGGCCGATTTTATCAACACGTAGCTCCGCCGGTGTTAGCAAATATCAATTCTCTGGATGTTCTTCATACCCATGGCGAATCACATGAAGTTCAAATGTTAGCATAGCTAAGTTGTATGTTCGGCAATGACACAATGCACAGATCAAGTGTTCAGACATTGTTGTACTAGACTTAATTTGCATGTTATGTATGAATGATTTGTGTTGTTTTCTATCCGAATTTTGATTAGTATTGACCGCTTTGCATGAATTTTATCCGATTAGTTAAAATGCGATTTGAAATGCATGCGGCTAACGTTAGATGATCCTCCCATATACTATCCGTGGACTGGTTCCTATCAACGCATAGATGTGAAAAGGTATTTACGGGTTACCGTTGAAGATGCCCTTAGTTATAAGGATAGAAAATGTTTGGTGTCAAAAAAAACATAGAAAAATGTTGTCCCAGATTCCACGGGTGTGGAACGTTGCATGAACCCTTTGGAAATTTCTTCGAAACTCCTGCAAAAATAGAGCTGTTCTCGGTTTAGGTTCCAAAATCCGTGGACTCCAGTTTAAAAAAAATTAAAAAAAAATCCGTGGACTCCTTTTCTTCTCAGGTCCCAGTCGAGATCGGTTGATTCTGTGAACGGGAGGATAGCGAGGCAAAGCGAATGCCGTTCGTCTCTTCCGCTCCCCCTGTGCCATACCACACGGCACGCGCGGGTGGGTCGTTACCGAGACCGACACGATTCATTTTGAAAGGAGGCGTCACTCGCCGGATGGCAGGCACGCTGACCCCGCGCCTTCGCACTTTACAAAGCCCGCTCCCGCACAGCGCACACAAAGACCCGGTCCATGCACTGGGCAGCCCACCACGAGGCCCGCTATTTTTTCAGTTTTCACCCTCGTATCCATATTAATTGGGCCGTGCTGCGCGTCGTCACGCATCCGCCGCCTCACGAGCCATCTGATTATGCCATCCGTTCTTCTTGTCTAATTTCCTGTAACAACGCTCTTGTTGGAAAATCTTTTCTTCTCTAACTTTCTACAGCAGAGACATGTTACAAAATTCCTTCTTCTCTAATTTTGTGTAACAAGACCTCTGTTGCAAAATCTTCTCTTCTATGATATACCGTAACAAGACCCTGTTGCAAAAAAATAATAATATTCTTCTCTATTTTTTGCAACAAAACCCTTGATGCAAAACTTCTTCTCTATTTTTCTGTAACAAGACTCTCGTTGCAAAACCTTCATTGCAATATGACCAAACATCTCCAGCTTCTCCTATGTATTCCTGCAATAGTACTATCGTTGCGAAAACTTGTAAGAACGCCGACGGCTGCAACGGTGAGAGCACCCCGTGGTCTTTGCATCATGCTGTTTGTTGCGGTATGCCTTTTCGAAACAGGTGCCCGGTTGCAAGAACTGCAGTACGGAGCATTTTGTATGTTCAGATGAGATCCATAAAGAGATTGCAGGCGAAGGTCAGATTCAACGCATGGATAGGAGAGATAAAATATGCGGCCATTCCAGTAGAGAAAGGGATGAAGGAGAGAAGCGGTGTGCTGGCCCATAAGACGTGTGTCAAGCGTAGAACCTCGCGGACTTGAGAGAAAAGATCGGTCGGTTGACCACTAGCTTTTTTTCCCATATTAATTGTACTGATTCTAAAATAACATATTAATTGTACTAAATCAATGATAATTAATATGGATGTACTAAATCAACGACAATTATTATGGATAAGCGAGAGAAGCAAAAAAATATGGCCTCTCTACAAAAAAAGCATAAAATAACAATTTTTATAGAAATTAAAGAGGGACTCTGATAAGTGCCACATGTATGGCATGAAGCAATTTTGCTTTGACTTTTTTTATGGTGCCTTTAGTTACCCGGGGATGTGAAGTATGACAACTTTCTGTTTGGATGAACAGTTTTAGTTTTCTAGATTTCGTTTCCCTTTTTTATGGTAATTTTAGTTGTAAAAACGCGAAGATGGTGTTACTACGTACCACACATATAACACTTATCATTTAGGTTAAAGAGAGGATTTCGGATGTGAACATTTTAGTTATGCATTACCTAAAACAGCGCAGTCTTTGGCCTCATCTCAAAACAAAAGAAAAAATGTACTCATATGACATTAATGCCAAGATCTTCCTTGGATGTGAATTGTCGTGGCCTTAAGGGGCGATACATTTTTTTAATTATAAAGACATCTCTAATAAATGATATAGATGTATAAATAACTATCTTTTACATCATCAAGGCCTAAAAATGCCGCTCCAACGGATGATGTAGATGTATATATTTTTACATCACCTGCTTCAGATAATGTAAAATATAACATTTGAAGATACAAATTTGCATCTCCAACCGCTGGAGATGT